AATGCATGTGCAATAGAATACTTCGTTAAATTTATTTTAAATATTGGTGAAATTTTTATTTTAAATCAAGCAGTATCCTGTGTACTATCTACCGCTAATTCAGTCTACAGTTAACTGAATCAGAGCTATAAAATAATTATTGAAAAGGTTTCTCGAATCTTTTAGTTTTTTTTACTGAATTTAAATTAATTTTCATGAAAATAAATTTTATTAGTTTATTATACACATTTAGTTGTTCTATCTTACAAGTTGATCATTGTTTGAAATTATAACAATTGAAAATCTACATAAACTGCATATTTTATTCGTTGTACAATTAAAATTATTATGTACAGAAAGTAGAAAAGCTTTTATAACCAAAAAATTACTCCTTTATGACATTGCAACAGTAGACACTTTAGATGATTCGAATTCTAAACATGCAGTTAAATTAATTTATAGTTTATTTCTTACATTGATTTCCATATAAGACAAAATAAAAAATTGACAAGATTTAATAAGTAGTTACTTTATCGTATAACAACAACAATCTTTTTTATTATTGTTATCAGCATTTTACATATAATAATATTTATACATTAAATAATTACTTTTCAAATATGTTTATAGCATATATTAGTATTTGCACAAATTACATTATTAATCACATTACTGAAGGCGATTTCAATACGAATAAACTTATTCTTTTAAACAGGAAATTACCGTTGGAAGCTTTTAAATTCCGGAAGTAAAACTGTTTCATAAAAATGGCGCGGTTATTGAATAAACGCAAATCTATGATTGTTCTATAATAAATTTCAACAGAATATTTCGAAAAGTTAGCAATTTGCACATATTAATTGGTACATGAAATGTAAATGACAGAATACTTTTATACTCTTTAAGAAAAGTATTTTTCGATGACGGGGAAATATTGCGAAGTGTTCGTTTCAAACGCCCCTATAGCATAAAAGAAACCGGCGTGAAAGAACGAATGGATATGAATAGAGGTGAGCTATGAACTATGAGTTACGTGAAAATAAGAGAGTGCAATAAAGAGAAAAGAAAACAGGCACAGTGTAAGAAAGTGCGCGGCGCGATCTCGCGTGTCGCTGCGAGTCGTTAGAATCGGTCGGTTGTACAGAGACGAGTATAACCTATATCCGAAATGCCACGGCGCTGTTACGTTCTCCGTGCCTCCTCCCTGGCGGGTGGCGGCCGCACCTCCTCCTTCTCGCCGATTTTAATCTCGTTAGCGGACACGTGCGCGCCCCCGCGCCTACAGACCACTATACGACAACCTACCGTGTCGGGGCTTCGCCAATCTGGTTTGGTCTAACAGGATTCTCGAGCGACCGAGGGTTGATAAAAGGCTGCGTACCGAGCGGGCGCGGCGCGAATCGCAGGAGGAGTTGCTCCGCTCGAGGTGTGGGCGCTTGTGCAGCAGCAGTAATAACAGCAGACGACCTCGTCATCGTCTTCTATTCTGTCGTCCCCGGTTCGTTGTTTCTATCTACGTTGTCCTCGTAATCGTGTTCGTCGTTTGGTATACGTCGCGTATAGGTTGCGTGTGTGCACACACGGTGCATATTCAGTGTGAATCTATCTCGTCGCGTGTCGGTACAGAAAGAGTACTATAGAAAGAGAGAAAGAGAGGGAAAGAAAGAAGGAGAAAGAGAGTGTGAGCCGAAAAGAGGGAAAGGGTAGGAGAACGAGATAGAGAGGGGGTGAGAGGGAGAGAGAGTGAGTGAGAGAGAGAGGAGAGAGAGAGAGGGGAGATAGAGCGCCGGTGGGTTACCACACCCAACCGCGCCGGGGACTGAGTGAACGAGTGAACGAGCCGTACGAGAGCTCTCTCGCGAGTAGTACGCGGGTACAGCGAGGGACCAAGGGACCGACGGTCGAGATTCGACGGAGTACAGTCGGGACTCTTTAAATCTCGATCCAACGGACCTCGCTCTCGCGAAATTCTTTTCTCAGCGGAATCACCAAAATCGCCGGAATCGTTGAAATCGCGCCACGAACAAAGGCTAAACGTGTGCGCGCGTGTCTCCCCCGCTTCCTCGACATCTCTCGTGAGTGCTTTCACATTTCATCGCAGAACGTGCGTGCGTGAATAAAGAACGAGGAAAGGGAAAAGGAGAGGAAGAAACGAAGAAGAAGGATAAAGGTAGAGGGAATCGAGACGAAAGCTTGAAAAAAAAATAGAGGAGAAGAGAATAAGAGAGCAGAGACAAGCTGCCGGCCGAGGTTCGTGCGTGTGCGTACATGTGTTGATGTGTCGCTGGCGTCGTCAAGCTCTACCAGGAGTGCTCTGTCGCCGCGTGTGCCGACGTTATTGAGAATACGGGGATCCCGGAAAAGTATCCGTCAAATCTACGATTACGTCTACGCCGTTGTCCGCGTACACGTCGTTGCCGTCATCGCCGTCGTCACCGTGGACAAGTGGTAGTGAATCGTGCTAGTGGCAATAGTGGTGGTGCGGGCGATCGGGAAGAGTTTCATTGGTTTAACCAGCGCGAGTGGAAAGGAAGGAAAGAAGGAAACCACGAGGACGGCGACGAGACGTCGTCGCTCGTTCGCGGTGGCCAGGTAATATCGGCCCGACGACGATATCGTGCCGTCGAGCCCGCTGCTGTCTACGACGAACCTCGCCACTCCGCAATCGCTCGCCACCACTGCAAATCACTCGTTCCCTCTCTCCCTTCCTCCCTCCCTCCTCCTCCACCTCCCCCTCCTCCACCCTCCTCCTCCTTCTCCTTCTCCACCTCCTCCTCCTCCTCCTGCTCCTCCTCTTCCTTTTCATTTTTCTTCTCTCTTCCTCCTCTATCCGTCGAGGATCTTGCCGTCCTGAACCATGGCGTGCTGCCTGTCGGAAGAGGCGAGGGAGCAGAAACGAATCAATCAGGAGATCGAGCGGCAATTACGAAAGGACAAGCGAGATGCCAGGCGGGAACTTAAGCTGCTACTTTTGGGTGAGTTTAATCATTGATCTATAGAAAACCTTTCTCGTAATACATTTTATCATTCACGTTGTACGGATTGTGTATCACTATATTCTCAGTGCTCGGCAGTGCGTTCTCTTTTCTACGATAACTACGCCGTGCCGTACCGTGCCGTGCTAAGCCGTGCCGTTCCATTCCATTCGATTCCATTCCATGTCGTTCCGTTCCGTTCTCTCTGTCTCGTTTCGTCTCTTGGCTGGCGTACCGTCGCGATCGAATTATCGGGTGTGTCGTCTTTTTTTCACCATCGATACGTTCGCATTTAATCGTGCTCCTTCGTTTCATTTTATCGTCTCTCGCAAGTGTTATACCTCTCGGCTGGATCTGGGTTTCTCTACTACCTAAGACGAACCGATCAGACAGCACGAGTGTAGCTGACCTAGTCTAGCCGGCGTGCGCTTGACAGTTCTCGACCATAGTCGCTACACGACACTCTCCGGCTTTTCTGCCGGTTAACTATTATACGAGCACCCACCTGCGTATTTCCCGAAATTTTCCAAAGCTTCGCTTTTTCTTTTGTTATTGTTTTTCGCTCGCTTTCGAACTTTCGTTGCGAGCCTTTTAGGTTATCTCGTGTTGTTTAACGTTGCTGCCATTGCACGCGTTCATCCTTATTCACGATCACGCACAGATTTCTCGAGCTCAGCGGCATGTAAAGAGACGTGAACGTTTTTAGAAAATTGCCAAGATATTAAAAGCCGTTTTATTATTATAGCTGCTTTGTGGGCTGTCGATTGAGCAAATCGATTTTCCCAGATGAGAAATTGTCGCTGATATGATTTTTATAACATTCTTGTTTCACTTGGCATTATGGAAATCTTACGAGACTTATAGGATTAGTGGGAACGGTGTATCATAAGAACATTTTTTTTTCTCAGCAATGTAAATTAATTTGGTGCTGTGTCTTGTCGGTAAACCACGCTATCAGTAAGCGATTGCTTCACGATATACAGGAGTAGAGTCGATTCTAAAATTAGTATAATTATCGAGAGGTTCATACTGATTTTACTGTATTTGTATATCTTATCCATCTACGTGATTGTGTCGATTTTTAATTATGCGATCATTCCAGTCTTAATTAATCTGGTGAAACAATCAGGAGTTTAAAATTTTTTAACGTATCTTCCACCTTTAAGTTTCACGTGAAATTTACACCGTAAAAAACATTGCGATGAAAAGGGCTTGTGTCTGCGCAAAACACGCATACTAAAATATAAAGTATCAATGTAAAAATATCTTTCTATTAATATTTATTGGGTGGTTGTAAGTATTTTTATGAATGTTTAAATACGTACATTCAACTATTTTACTGGAATTAATTTGATGTATTTTTCGTAATTTACATTGTTTATTAATTCTTAACAATTTTGTATTGAGCAAAATTCTTATAAAGTCCAAATATCTTTACAAGGATTCAGTGTGACACATTGAAGTACGAGGAGAATTTGAGATATTTAGATTTAGTATTCTATCACGTGCTGCAAAAGTCACAAATCAAATATATAAAAAGTTTTAAAAGGTGGTAAATAGAACGAAGAGAAAAGAATAAAAATCATTCTATTTTACAATTTTTAAATTAATTGAAAATTAAATACTCGACATTGTCGTATCTTTTCTTCATATTTGACTCACTGTGCGTAGCTGTGGAAATAATCGAAGGTTATTGCCACTAATTAAGAGAAAGTTATTCTTTCCTCAAATGATAAACCGAAACTCAAAAATGCTCATGCACTAATTCCTCAGGCAAAAATATTTGTATATTTCTGTACGTTTTATTATTTCCCAAATATTTTCGCTACGAAAATTCCGCCGGTCGTTTAATTATACCGAGCCAGCAGTGTAAGGTAGCTTTGGTCCTTTCAAGATTGGCGGTGGTCGTGTACAGAATTCTAACCTTAAATAATCATCGACCGCGTAAGATTAGCCGTGCGTTCAAACTTTTCTCTCTTCGGGTGTTTAATATGACACATAATAGAATCGGTAACACGATCTACGGCCGGCCGGTTTCAAATCCCTTTGTCGCGATACATCTCGCCCCGAGAAACTCACCTTGCTTATGATCTGAGAAGTCGCTGCTCGTTACCGAGCATTGTCTCCTCGAGACTTTCATGCCTTTGTGACTTTATAATTCACGCGAGGCTACTGTGCATATTTACCTAGCTATTCCGCAAAATGAAACCCGAGTTAAATGTGCTCGAAGCGGTTTTTTATCGGGTGTCAGCGCGTACAAGCGGCCCGGGGAATCCTGCTGCTCTTTCATGCGAATCTCGCCCCGAAGCCCAGTTTTTTTCATTGTCTCCCTCCCTCCCTGTGTTGTTGTTGTTACCTTTTCTCTCTCTCTCTCTCTCTCTCATTTTCTTGTCCTTTTCTCTCTTTTCAGTTGTTTTTGCGAATGTGTCAAAAGCTAAACTCGCTTTCGACGAATCGCTTTACCATAACCTAAAAAATATCGTCCACTACGCTGGTATTAACGGCAATTAGAACGCGCGCGGTTTTCCTCGCGACATTACTCATTCGTAAGTGATATCACGCGGAACGATCGGCGCTGCGATTGCTTCATTGTGTACACAGCTAACTCTCGTATGCCTTTGTGCTGATGTGTGTGAGCACACGGTTTTATCTAATTCCACGTTTCCCCGAGATAATGACCTAGAAAATAGCTGTGATAATTTCGCGGTGCGTAAAGCGGCGATGTTCTCAGCCGAGCTATCGATACCGGATTACCCGCTACGACGCGTGTTTCCGTAACGTTCAACACGCTACTATTTGTCTTAACGTTTATTTCGGAACCCGTCTCTCCTTTCTTTGTTTCCGCGAGGCTCTGTGTCTTGTATTCCGGCCAAAAGTCGCGATATGCTCGCCGGCAGACACGATAAAGTGGTTCGTTCTAGAGAAAAGACACGGGTCAAAGTGCTGTTGAAAACGTTAGAAGATGCTGTAAGATATCACGGTGAACCCAGTGTGAAGTTCAACGAAGATTTAACAATTCGGCGTCGTTACTGGCCGTCAGTTTAATTGAATTGCTAGCCGCGTGTAACGAGCGGGCGCAGAGCTTTGGTGAAATTCGAGGGATTCATCGATTAGCCAGTTACCGTTAGTCACGCTTCCTTACGACACACGTAGCGACCTTTTCCCGTGCCGATGAACTTCGGAATCGCCGAAACGCAGCAACCAACCTGTCGTGTTGGCAAAGCGGAAACTCCGTCGATTCATTTTCAATGATCGATCGTAGTTTTCATTTCGATTCGTGTTTACTACTCGGCCGAAACGCAGCAACCAACCTGTCGTGTTGGCAAAGCGGAAACTCCGTCGATTCATTTTCAATCATCGATCGTAGTTTTCATTTCGATTCGTGTTTACTACTCGCGTCTACCGTTCAGCGTATGCGTGTTCCGTTAGCGATGTACACTTTTACATGAGAATTGATTCATTAATGTGTCGGGACAAATATTACGGAAGAAGCGGGATTTAGTATTATGAAACCTTGAAATAATTCCCAATTGCTCATTAACGACACGTTCCCGATTGTGTTTGTGTGGCAGTCGCCTGTTGCCTAATGCAACGTTTCGTCATTTCCAGAGGGTAACTGCGACAGAGTGTATACCTTTTCTTAACGTAATAGGCACAATTAACACATTCAACTCGAGGCCTGCTGATCGGTCGGCATGTATTATGTCATCCCATAGCTTCGTGTCGAATTTTATAATTTAGATCAATATTTTCAACCAACCTTTAAATTTGATTAAAACAAAAAAAAATACGCCAGCATCTTCTCATTCCACAACTTTTTCTAATCTTTTTTTTTTTTTGGTAAGATTATTATGTCATCGTTGCAGCATTTCCTTGGATTTTCATTGAAATATTTTTCACTTTCGGCACGAACTTGTAGGATGACCTAATAATTATCTCGCAGGCGTTTAATATTTTTCCCATTTTTTTTTATCCACGATAAATGTATATTTTAACGAATAGAAAAAATTGAACTATACTTTTTCCAAAATATATGTTTCACATATTACGTGACTTTGCATTCAGGCCGCGTGGGCCACCGGTGACCCACGTTATTCGTCATATATGTTATTTATCAATAGCAATACGTCACCTAGAGAATTGAAAACGCATAATTGATAACCCACTGTACGATGAAATAACATTTATTAAATTTGTTTTATTTATGAGAAATTAAGCGCCATGCATGTGCTTTGATACTAAATTTGGAAAAATATCAAAAAAGTGGAGTTGATCGTTTTGGCTTCTGAGTGGCTTAATTGATATTATGAAACATTTCACGATAATCTTTCTTCGTATAAGAAATTACCAAATGGCCTGAGCGGAAAGTCCAACGTGGTCCACCGATGGCCCACGCGGCACCTCAACGTGTTCATTTTTCGAACGCTTCCAAAAACAGATACCATTATAGGGCACTGTCATTAAGTTTCCACCTCTATGATCTACATTTTATTAAATTTCCGTTCATTTATATTCTTACGAATTAGGTTAGAAAGCTTTGACACTAGAACTGTGACGGATTTCTGGTTCCTTACTTAAATTACAGAAATGATTACGAACAAAAAAATAATTACATCAATTTATTTTCCATTAACGATTCCAATTTTGAAATTCTTCACGTAGTTTTATCTAAATATACCAGAAGGGAAAGAATTTACCACGTTCAACTCTGACCCACCGGTGGGTCACGCTGTTTGGCAGAAGTTCAGCTTGCGACCCACCGGTGGGTCACCTCGAGTTGTATGTGTTAAAAGGAAACGATGCTCGGAATTTAGCTGAAATTTGTGGCCCTGTTATTGCAAAACAGCTGTTTATTGGGAATTTTCGTGAATAGAGTAGCTTCATTTTTTGGGCTGATAAAAAAATAAATCATTTGTAGTGTTACATGAGTCATTCAGATGCGAAATTAGTTAGCTCCATTTTTTGCAGGTTTTTCCACTTTTAGCAGCAAAGTACATGAT